ATCGTTATAAACAGCATGTAAACACCCGTATATACATACATCGCAAGACACGGGCGTTTTTTTATCCATTTGCTTGGCTGACCCAAAACAAATAATAATCAATGAAACTGCCTCTTCAATTGGAGTTATCAACCATTTTCAATACCACCAATACAAATCAGACACTCCACTTATACCCACGCTTACAAATGCACATCTCAAAAACCTCAAAACAATGTTGGAGGAAGGATGCTAGACTCCAACACCCACCCCCTCCCCTCTCTCCATCGCAATACCGTCCACACACTCTTTGGTTCTGGTTTTGCTTCAGAAACACAGTAAAACATCAAAAACAAAAAAAACAAAAACAAAAACAAAACGGAAATATCAAAAAAAAGTGGAAGCCTTTTTTGTAGCGTGCTGCAGGCAAGTCCGGCTTTCCGACTTAGCAACAGTTGGGAGTATAACAATGACAACAACAACAACATCTGTTTCCATAGAGCCATGTTATATATATATATCATATATATATATATAAACTCTCCAGGTGGCATATGTGCATATGTATGCATGTGTATTATATACACATACCGCAGCATCTCATGTTGAGTAATATCTTTTATCTCTTCCATTTGAAATCTCCTTTTCCGCACTTTTTTCCTCCCACAGTGCAGAAAAACATGCCCTCTCTTGCGTCTCCGTATTTGCAATGCAGACAAGCCTCACCCCCCGTTTTTTTTGTTTTTTGGTTCCAGTGTAAACTGAACATCTACTTCCTCATAAATTCAAAGTGAAGCGTCATCAGCTCCAGTCTTTTATTTTTCTTTTTGACTTTCCTGCACTGCTTCATCGGGGGCTGCTACTACTCACGCGTTTTCCACCGCTTGCTGGACCGCCCCGCATTGCTGTCAGATACGGCAGACGCACGCTACGTAGCATGCCTACACTACAAGAAACTACTGTGTTCGTTCCTTGAGATGACAACACGCAGCTAGGCGTTGACATCAGAGCCGGTAGAGGCTGGGTTCCGCCTCTTAACCCAAGGGGCGCTAAGCGCCTCTTCAGAGTTCGTTTCCACAACTCATTGTGCTTAAAGCCACCAACTCCGCTTAAAAGCTGATTCGGCATGAATGAAGTGCCACATGCAATTCGGTTCTTTTGAAGCTGAGAACCGAGTGCTTCACGTGTATGTTCACTGAACCCAATGCCCTGCTGGCCCACCACCTTCAGGTTGGTCGTGGTGGTCGCCAGCTGTATCAACTCCGCACCAGCTGTGTCGGTGAGAGGGTTATCAGAGAGGTCCAGCAGTTCAAGTGATGGGTGACCTTCAAGTACGGAACACAGCTCGTGAACTCCGGCGTCATGAATGTTGTTGTGACTAAGATCCAAGGAACGAAGACAACTCAGTCTCGGTAGCAATGCAATGAATGGCCTCATATCAGCGTCGCACAAGTCCATCTTGGCAAGAGCCACCGAGGAGGTGTCACGCTCAGAATCAATGCGTTGCAAAATTTTCAGCAATTCTTCATTGGATTGAATATGATGTTGTAAACAATTCAATACGTAGGTAGAACGTAGTAAGGGCTGCATCTTGGGGGAAACCAGTGCATCGTAGCTCTGAATATACGGTAAAAGTTCATTGTCAATATCTTCTTTAAATTTTGCAAAGGCCTCATCCCCTGTTTTTGAATCCGCATGAATGTATTCCTTTAAAAAAACCAATTGCATCATTTCAACTAACATATGCATGCCCTCATCGAGATAAAGTTTGTTATATAGTTCTTCCATATAGTGATAACGGGATCGGTTGCGGGGGTTGCTGTCCGCCTTCAACGCCTCATCGCTTTCAGGCCTTGCAATCCAGCTGGCTTGAAACTTATTCACCGCATCTTCTTCCGTTCGTGAGGTACGCGGTGTTTCTACGTCATATATATCCTCACTCTCAAATTTGGATTCGGAAGTGTAAAACGGCAGCGGAAAAAACGGTTTTTCCTGGTCTGACCCCACAGTTGGGGCACTGATAGTCACATGTGACTCATGCTTGCTTCCATGCCCTCTTCCAATGCTCTGCCGTTCAGACCTACTTTGCGTACTGGAATTGATGTTATAGGCATCATTAGATGTGAATGCAACAGGCAGAGTGTTCTCCTGACTGGTCGCTTCGCCTTCTTTACCTTGACTTTTACTCGCCACATTTTCCATTCTTTGCAGTTCAGACCTCGGAATGACACCGTTTTTAATTATAAGCTCTTTCGATTCCTGTATAAGTTCAGATAAGACGGTATGGGCCCTATCCAGCGTGCCACCTGGCAAAATATCTGTCTGACGTACCAGCTGAATGTCCTCTCTCAGCATCTTCAGAAGTAGCTCTATCATCGTCTGGTATTGCATACACATAACACGGTAGTTAATACCACCATTCAGGTACTGAAATAGCTCAGATGCCGCGATGCAAAGTTCACGCTCGTGAGAGTAGCTTGACCTATGCGGGCTGTTAGATGTTGTCTTAGAGGATAGGTGGACCGTTGGAACGGAAAGAAGGCCGTTTGCGCTCAAACTGGCAAGAGGAACCGACGATTTTCCCTCAAAAGCCGCAGAGCCCAGTGTGAGGGCGTGCCACAATGTAGACTGACTTTGTGAACTCTGCATCAACTGCCGCTGGAGGGCTCCATACTTCGCGTTGATGTTCGTCACGAGTTGCTCTAGCCTCTCCAGTTTAATATCGGTGAAAGCACTATCAGTGTTCTCGGCCATGCTGACAGTAGACATCACCACACTGCGACCCTCACCGATACACACAACGGGAGATATATATATATATATATACTAAACTGCTGGGTGATTGTCGCAGAGAGACGACTTCTATTTCCACACACCCGCACACTTCTGTGGGAAGGCACTGAGATGATTTTATTTTTGGCTTTTGATGTGGACTGAGAAGAGAAGTCCCCCCATCCCCACCGAATAAAAATAAATAAATAGGGGGAGGGGGGAAACAGTATATACCGATACATTCAATGCAAATGAATAGCCAAATCCAGACTGTCATTGACTGCTGAACAGTGCATGTATGCCTCTAAGGAGTTTGTCTTACATTACATACATACGCACAAATATCGTATTTCAAAAGACACACTGTTGGAGATGTACGTGAGAGAAAACACATGAAGGTGAAGCGTAAAAAACAAATCCGTTGGGCATTTACCTTGACATACACACACATACGTACAAAAAGAAAGAAAGTAAACATCCAGAATAAGAAGAAGCGGTAAAAAAATAATAAAAAAAATTTTTTTTTTAAAAAAATGGTGTGTGACTTAAACTGCCTCCAGCACCGCCTCTTTGCCTTTTTCTTTTTCCGTTTAATGCGTCACACGTATCGCAAATAACCAAATTACACAGATCTGTACATGTAAACTGTCGCTTTTTTTTTTTAATTATATATATATATATATATATTTCTGGTGTCGGTGCATTTCATTTTCTTCCATTTTTCACAGGAGTTGACAAGTAACTTTCTCCGTCATCGTCTCCCTTCTCCCAATCCACAGTTTCACTCTCAAATTCCTCTGATCCCATGGCCATATCGGAAGAGAAGGATAGGGCAGGCGTGAGTCTTGAGTTGCCATGCCCATCTCCAGCCTCCGTCATGGAGTTCATCGCTGAATTCACCTGCTCTGCCAGCCGCCGATTTTCCTCCACAAGCACAGCATTTGCCTGCCTCAACCCATTTTCCAGCATCTTCCACTCCTCTTGTTGCTTCTTCTCCTGCATTTGATAGCGCTGGATTTCCCTCCGGTAATGCTCCCGCTCAGACTCCGTCTTTTGACACCTCTTTACAATGTCATCGTAACGTCGTTGAATTTCATCTGCTACCCGTTGCATTGCATCCGTTCTGTTTTTCTGTTCCATCGCCACGCGATCGCGTCTACCACAGAGTGCACATGCGTCTTCTGGACAAGCAGGCGGCCTCAGGGGTGGCTTTAGGCTTTCCTTCACTAAACCGCTATTTGCAAGGGCTTTTACGCGAAGTTTAATATGCCTCAGAGACTCGGTGGCATCATGTATCATGTCACAAATGACTCTCGGCGTCATTTCATACTCGCTCGGTAAATTATACTCCAGTTTAAAAAATGCTGCACTGTCAAAATCGTGACTATACAGCGCATTGATCTCTTCTGGTGTACAGTCGGTGACACCCATATCTGCAAGATCCTTCCTTGTAATAAACTGAATACGTTTTTTGGCATCACCACCTTTTTTCGTCATAGGTTCCGCGTTTTCAAACATAGAGGTTGAGGCTGGCGTGGGTGAGCTTGGCTTCCCTGAGAGTTGCGCGTGCTCATCATCTTTGGCATCACACTCGACATCTAAGGTGGCAGCGCCCACCGAGGCAGATTTGCGTCGCATCCCATTCCAGCGTTCAAACACATCAAACACACGCTGGCGGTGCTTCTTCTCTATTTCATAGGAACCCACCGCACGAGCAATCTCTGCCCACTTCGTCGTCGCTACTTTTGAGGACGGTCCAGGAGAAGGCAATAAAAGACAATCATACAGTGGCTCACATGTGTCGTCTACCGCCTGTACTGCTTCTGAGAGCGCAGCAAGAAGTCGATAGGACTCAACGTACAACTCGTCTCGTGCCACCTGTTTCTCTTGCTGTTTAAGAGCATTCATGTGGGTCGTGGGGGCGTCAAACACTTTATTTGTCTCACTGGATCCCGCATTCTGTGACGTATACAATTCTTCTAGTCCTTTTATTGTCATCTGTGTGTAGGCATCCTCCAATTCCATTAGCATATGCAAGTGCTCATCAGCAGGGTGTTTTGAAAAATTCTTATCCTTCAGTTGTAGACGTTCAATGAGTGTGTCATACATAGAGGCCCTGTACTCAAGTTCACCATTTGCACGGCGCAGCATCGCTTCTTCCTGCCTCCCTTTCCTCACCTCATCTCGCAACAAAATAAGTTCCTCCACATCTTTTCGAGAAGCCATAATCAACTCTTGACGTGCTCGCGCCTCGCGACGAGCCTGATCCTTGCAATATCCAACCAGCCAAAGACAACTTGAGGTGACATCCATCATAAGGAGGCGAAGGGCGTCCAATAAAGCACCACGCTCCATGCATGTGCCAGCAACCTGCCGTATAACTTCAACAAAACCTATATCCGCAATTTTCATGACTTTCTCTGCTGCCTCAACGTAAATCCGATGGGCAGAATCCGATTCCTCTATAGCCTGTGAATTAATAATCCTTTCAACATCGGAATCACTCCGGTACACAGAAAGCCCATCCTTATCTGGGGCCGTTGGCAAGAGACGCTTCGCAATTTCCTTGTCTGCCAATACAGCGAGTGTACCTGGGATCTCCTGAAACATACGATCCAGAGCATCAGCGAGTAGGTAAACTTGCGCACGTCCAGTAGCCTTTGCTGCTGGAAACACAACCGAACTTTTCTTGGGTAAATTACTTGAGGCATCTGCATCAATTTTGTGCCGCCGAGAACCTGGAAAGGTAGGATTATTTATACTCACCCACAAAGAACGTGGAATGACAGAAGACTCCCACGAGGAAATACGATCAATAACAGCCTGACGTGAGGCACTCATTTGCATTGTGCTGGCCCCAGGCCATGATTGCTGTAGTCTTTCATACTCCTTGCTAACGGCAAGTACGGCATCAAGTACAGAAAAAACAGGTGCGTACGATGGGTGCGGTTGTGGGATGCCATCTATTTTCCTAGACGGGGAATTGCAACCAACCAAAGGCCGTCGCTTTTCTGAGGCGTAGGCAACAACTTGCTCAATGACACAGGCATCATCTCCCACGTTGGTAGAGCGTGTTAGCGGCAAACTTAACGTGGCACCCACGTTGTCAGTGGACTTCTCTGCGGTGGGAGTAGATAAAAAGGATAATTCATTTTGTATTCCTGTATCTTGCGTCCGTGAAGGTGGTGGTGAGACAAGAGGAGAATGAAACTCTTGCGTTGAACCCCATTTCGAACGTTTTCTCTTGGAATACAACGAAGTAATGGGAAGTACCTCACGCAATGTCGGATCCTCATCGTTTCGTGGCCTGTCAAAGACCTTTGCTTGCAACATATGGTCCACATACGGCGGTTCTAGGCGGTTAACCTGTGTGCGTAGGCCATCCAGCTTCGCATTGAGTGGTGGCTTTATCTCTTCCTCGATAAGACTGCCGCGTCTTTTTGCGGCCATCCTAGAGGCCAAAGCACGGCCTTTATGCAAAAGCGTGTAGAGGGTTTGGGGGGTAATGCGGTCATCTAAGTTCATTGAATTCCCCGCACTCACATTTTCGTGGCCTGGCAATTTCGTTTCCAGCTGAGCGGGGGAACCCACGATGAGCGGGAGGTTTCTGCAAAGCATTCCCACGACCTCCTCATGAACAGCCGCCGTTGAGGCCTCTACCGCATTCTGTGACTCCTTTCCTACGCTTGCAGTGAGACTCGGCACGGCCAACGGCACTTTAGCATACATCTGTTCTTTTGGCTTCGTCGCGTAGCGGAACCTCAGACGATTCATCAGCGGATCTTCTGGCGCTGCAGGCAAACGTCGTTTGGGTACTTTGACCTCGCGTTGGGGTTCCGTCAGGCTTGGAATGCCCGTGCCACCCGGCGCCGTTTGCCGCAGCCCCATTGCTCCTAGCGTGGTCATGCGGGCGTTTACTTGGTCGGAGGAGATGGAGCCGCCAATCTCTGGTGCACTCATTTTGCTGCGGGACGTGACGTCCCCCCTTTCCCCCCACTGAAATACACCGGAATTTGCACTCTTAAAAGCAGGGTCGCTAGGTTAAGCAAATGCGAGTCAAAAACCTGAACCTTTCTTTCTTTTAAATGCTGTCTTGCCCCTCCCCCCCAGCCCTTTTTCCCCCCTTTTTTCCCGTTTGTTATGTGATACAATTTTTTCGAGGTTCCTTGCACTCACACACTCCTCCTCCTCCCCTCCTCTCTCTCTCTCTCTCTCTGTGTGTGTGTGTGTGTGTGTCTGTGTGTCTGTGAACGGAGCACACGCCAACCTGGCAGTGACAATGGTTACCACACAGTGTACCGATAGTTGACGGGCCAATTGCAGTGGCTCACACACCAGGGTGACGACAAAAAACAAAACAAAAACGCACACACCAACAGACAGTACAACAAAAAAAAAGTGGGAAAAGTAAACAATAACAATGGGAAATAGAGGGGAAAAACATAATAAAAATGACTACATGGAATAGTAGAAAAAAAAAAAACGAGACACTTCTCAGCAGTAAATCGCCACCGCACAGACACTAACAGTCATATATGCACGGATATGAGTGCAAGTGCGGAGCCACAAACCTATCAACAATGTCTCTGCGGGAGCAGCCGCACCTCTCCTCAACGCACAGAGGTTCCTCCGCCAATAAACTCACGCATACGCCGTGCGGCATCCTCGAGTGAAGGGTTTTCGGACGGTCGCTTCTGCACATCAGTCCCCAAGGATGTGATTTGAATCGCAAGAGATGGCTGAAACACATACGTCTTGGGGTCTGCAATATACTCGTCCTGTGCCTCAGGATCAGACTCCAAGTTACTGCTAATATGCGTGTCCACCTGCCATGTCATTGGCGTTGTCAGCTCGAGACAACGCTTCGCAGAGGCGTGATGCAGAACGTACGCGGTGAGTTCGCGATGACCTTGATACGCGAGACGAATGCCGTCATCAATAAATGGACGAGGAGGCTTCCCAGTGGCGAGAAGATCCAGTCCACCGAGATGCACAATACCCCAACCTGCGGGTACCCGTTCCCACAGTGGCCCCAGCAGCCGGCTAAACTTGTGGTGAAACTCCACGTCATCCTCAAGTACCAATGCACATGCACGGCGCTCCGCCACAATCATATCCCATACCTTGCGATGCCCAAGTGCACACCCAATGGCACCGCGTGTTAGGTCCATTCCAAACAGTTTCTCTTCCATGGGAAGCAGAAATCGGGTATAACCAAGATCTGTGATAACACCCTCCCGATATAACGCCTCCACATCGAGAGCGTTTCCATCGACGCCACTCACCCTGGTAACCTTTGCAAGTGGCTTCAGAAATTTTTCAAGCCCAGCTCGGGCTGTTTGCCGCTGGACATGTGCCCAGCGATCCCGTCGGCGGTCAAGGTTGAGCACATAGCATGCATCAAAAATGTGAAGTCGCCTGAAAGAAGAGTGCAGCATTGGAAGAAACTTGACGGCGTATCTTTTTTTCTTTTTTCTGTCGCGAATGATTGCGTCTCTTGCTGTGCGTATGTATGCGCGTGTCCAACGCCAGCTGCGGCAGAAATGTTAACTTCCCCCTTTCCACTCAACACTCCCCGCCTTTTTTCGCCCCCTTGTCAGGTTGTGGGTTTCGTGATTTATTTTTCCTCGTAGTTCCAAGTCTCCACCAAACACACACACACACACACACACATGAACAGAGAGAAAAACAAAACAAAACAGAACAAGAGTTATGGCAGCAAAGATGCTACGAGTGACGAAGCAAGAAGAACCAAGCATAACGAGCGACACTGCAACAGTCAAGGATGTGTATAAACGCTGTTTGCGTATGTATGCGGGTTCATGCACACATGAGAGGGACAAGCCGTCCCCACGGGGCGAACGTAACCAACAACATCAAAGAATACAAATAAGAAACGGGTGCACGCCGTCGTTACTCCACAAGCTGGGGGCGACAGTTGCTCCTGGGTGTGAAATCCACATCCCTGCCCTTTCTTGCGCAGCCTATGCTCCTCCTCCCCCCCCCCCCCACCACCACACACACACAGAGTGCATTGTTCGTTTCCCAGGCGGCAAAGAGAAAAGGGAGAAGAGAAGACGAAAACAAGCTAAATTGTAGTAGTCTTTTTCAACGTTTCGGTGTCGATTACACATCATCATTACCATCGTCAGCGTGCATTGCGCCCTGATGACGTCGCTTCGGTCCCCAGTTAGGCGCGTTTGGAATAAACTTTGCCACACCCGTTACGCCGCCGCGGAAATCAAACTGTCGGTCGTATGAGAAGTCTGCATCGGCAAGTGGCTCCAGCAGCGACACGTGAGCACTCACGCCTCGTCCTCTGGAATTCGCTTCCTGCGCACCTTTGACAGCTGTCGTTGCTGGAACGCTAGATGCAGATGCAGGCGCCTTCTCCCACTCATAACTGTCTTTTACAACACCATTAGATGCCTCTTCTTGCAGCTTTTTCCATTGAAGCATCACGCGAACAAGAACTTCTGGAGGACAGTCCGTTTTGATTCCTGATGGGGCACAATGAACTTGGCTACAACGATAACCCATTCGTCCCAATGCGCCCACAAAGAGCGGCGTAGGTGGGCACCGCACCCTCACAAAGGAGGCAATGTCGGGAATCTGATAGAATAGCGGGGTATCAGGCAACTCCTCCATTGCCAGCCGCACCAGACCAGACACGCGTGCCCCTGCCGTAATCTGTTTCGCTGCCCCACGCTGCTCCACTTCATGCAGAAGCTGTGAGAGAAAGGACACACACTGTGTTGGGGCAGCGTAAATTGGACCCGACAAGGTCAGAAAAGCACCACACACCTTGCAGCAGCGCGTATCCACACAGGATGGCATGTGCTGCAAATTAAAAGCGGTAATTTTTGGATTGCCCTGCCTCATCGGAGCTGCGGGAAAGCACTCTCGCCCAAATGCATCAGAATTACCTTCCAACACATCCTTCTCCATTCCGCTGGTCTTATTATTATCTATACCATTATTATTACCATTATTATTATCATTTCCACAAAAATTCTTTGGAAGGTCGTTGCTCGGCATCATGTTTTCCTTTCGTACACGTTTCTTGGATCGCATACGAGCAACTGCCATTGGACGCACCCAGTACGCTGGGCAATGGCTACACTGTAGCATATATCCCAATTTGCATGGACTTAGCTTTACCTCCGCTGGTTGCGTGTAGACACGAACAAAGCACCGCACGTAAAAATCAATATGTAGCGAGAGTAATGGCACAATATACTTACGCTGTTTATTGGCGACACGCTCCAAAGCAGCAAGCAAAATTCTCACAGCCATTTCATGGCAGGCGGCGTTCTTTGAAGGAATGGTGTTGTACTTGGCGTGGCATGTGTCTGGGTAGTTTCCACACAAAATGGCACTGTCCGTGCTAGTCACAAGCAGTAGTCCACCTTCCTTGATACAGCGCATAGCAGCATCCAAGAATGGGGAGGCTGAGCCGTATGGGTCAAGGTCCACAACATCCATCAGCTCCTGTTGCAGTAACGGTCGGGTCTCCTCTAAACGGATACCCTCACCACTACCATTGACACTAGTACTCGTATGTTTTGTCGTATCGGACGTCACCACACAGAGACGGCATCCAGCGTACACAGTAGGGTTTGTGGCCAGACGAAACATCAAATCATTCGCGTCATCTAGGTTTGGTATCACTGCTCCACCTGCCTCAATGGTTCCAGTTACCTCATCCACACGGACACCATCTGGTGGGAAGTTTGCTGCCAGTGTCGGCTGGATGCAGGGTACGCCGTTGAACTCACAGTTACGACGGATGCATTCTACAGCGTCGGCATCCAGGTCGTTAGCGATGATGAAGCGGACTCCAGAGATCTCCTTGTAGTAGCGGATGGCGCGAAGGCCGGTCGCACTCAGCGCCTCAAGAATAGTGATACCGTTGCGCGTGCCGCCCTTGCGGCGAGGCTCGTCACGGCGCAAGTGCGAAAAACACGCCAACGCGCAGACACTCAAATCCCGATTGACCACCTGCGCAGGGTTGTAGAAGACAGCCTGGCCGTCATCATCTTCACCATTATTACTATCTTTATTGCGGTGGTGACGCCAATCGTGACTGGCCTCATGCTCTCCTCCATGACGTTCCGTGGGGCCTCCTTCTCGCTGAGTCCCCGAGGAACTCTTGATATTTGCTGGCGGGAATAACACCGCTGCAGTCCCCTCCGTTATCTTCTCAAATCCACTGGGGGGCTCCTTTGCAAGTCCTTCTGCACTAAACAGACCGGAGCGCATCAATCCCAGCAATCAGCTCCTGCCACTAACAAACCCCGAACTGTTCCCCTGCGGGCGAAAGAGCTGCCATGTTTACGCATGGAAACAGATGCAAGTTCCAAAGAAGACAGAAAAGAAAATTAGAGTAACAAAATATACCACTTGGTGAACGCATGCTCAGTTATCTGTCTTGCATCGCTTTGCTTCACCACCCTTCTCCTCCTGGCGGAGAAACAGCTTTCTCGCAACCCCAAGCACACCCACTCACCACCACAGATGTCGTTTCTAGCGTCGTTTCATTTTTTTTTCCCTTGTCATCGCATTGCATCAATCCAAGTGACACAATATTATTGTACATACTTGTTTTAGCCTTTTTTTCTGGTTTTCATCCTTCAACTCTCATTCGCCGTAAAAAAAAAAAAACAATGGTAGGAGTCAACCAGCAAAAGTTCTTTCGCCCAACTTCTCTTCTTGTAGACCAGGCAAGAGCAAAATGCGACCGGGCATTTTACATTCCCGGAGACCTCTCTCTCTCTCTCCAAACTATTGGCACTTGCAATGCACCACGCGGTAACCCTGTTCTTCGTATTCCTGTCGCGAGACAGTTAAATGTGGGAACATAGACGTTCGCGCAAGCATGGAGCCTCCAAGCCAGGCACTGTATATTCGACAATCCAAATCGTGTACGCGGATTGGTGTCACCGCCTCGCTGGTATGTGTTTCTCGGTAAAGTTGAGTCACTTCTGCTTCAATCCGTGCTCTGATACCGGGAAAGGAAACATTCCCACCCGCAAGAATAATGTTTGCAAAGAGTACGGGTCGCATTGCCGCTTGACAGTTGTTGATTGCAGCAAATGGTAGCCAACTAATACCCATGGGGAAGGAGGGTTTAAATATATCCCCCAACTCCGTCGTGTAACGAGAATTAGGAATAAACTGCTCGCCAAGGAGAGAAAAATCAAAAAGAGCTTCCGTTGCACGGTGGCGATGCTCCAACAATGGAATGGCGTTACCGTCTGGAAGGTAAAAAACCTCTTCCGTTGCCGCTACATGTGTCGCGAGTATCTTCTCCTCACGCATGACAAAGTTATCATTGCTCGGCAGTGCCCCTCCCGTATTTTCGGCGGTCCAAAAGGGATTGCAGCACCCAAATACACTGGATTGCACGTAGCACAGCTCTTCCTTGGCTTTATTTAGAATCTGCATTTCAACAGGGGTACCAAAGCTGTATCCTTCCTGCCGCAAAAGGGACACAAGGTAGTTAGTCAAGCTTTCCCCTGCAATCTGACTCTCTGTCACGTGACGACCAAGCGCATAACCCTCATGCACAGGAACCGCCAGGGTGCGGTCCTTGCCACTATCAAGCACCAAGCCTGTTGTCAGACCGTATCCATACAGGCTTAGCACCTGTGAAGTTCCTAAAAAGAGCGAGTGTACATGAAAAGTCTCCATCATAAGTTCCAAAGTCTTTTCTTTTTGTGCTGCCGGGGTGTTCACTGGCTGCGGTACAACAAAGCAGTGGCTTTCCGGTGTCACCCGCAGTTCAGAGAACATCACATGACTCCACAGCTTCTCCATATGTTCCCAATTCACAACGAGACCATTTTTAATAGGACTACCAACAGTGAGCATGCCACGCTTCACAAGGGCTTCCTCTCCGATCTCATACTCATTCATCCCAGCAGCCATCGCCACGCCCCGATTGCGAGGATGACCAACAAGGGCAGGGATGTCAAGACGGGGTCCTCGCTCTTCCGCGTATCCTGCACGCAGCGAGTGCGAACCGGTGTCCAAAATGACAACAGGGACACGCCCCCGCGTGGTTTCCATTTCCTTCATGGTAAAAGTCCCCTTTCTCTTCTGCTCTATCCTTCGACAGTCTTTTCCCTCTCCCTACCTTGTGCACACCGCCACCTTTGTCTCCTGCTCGCACACCAAAGAGAGATAAAGAGAGAGAGAGAGAGAGATGGCGTTGCTTTCTGTTTGTTTTTCGCATCCCTCTGCAGCCTGTTGAACCTTTCTTGGCGAACGCGTAGAAAGGCAAAAAAAACAGGTAGCAGTGGCGAGAAGCACAGAGGACGGTAAAATAACGCCGGCATCCTGCCACTTTTTTTCTCTCCTCCTCATACTTGTCTTTGGGTGGCATACGATTTCTCAAGAGACGCACGTGGATGTGCGAGTGCTCCGCAGAGTAACCCCCCCCCCCCCCCCAAGGCCGAGCAGCACCCACCACTCCTCACTGCCCAGAGCAAAGTGACATCACAACAAACCAAACACACAAGCAACAAGAGCAAAAAATAATAATAAATACATGCAAGGCAATCATGAGGAAACACCAGATCCGTACTTGCGTGCCCATTCGTCAAACTTGCTCAAGTCAGACTGCCGCACGCTACTCTGTGTACACGCCACACTTGCCATCACGTCTTGGATGGTCACCCGTGGTCGCTGCAGTGTACCACCTGTCAACTGCATCGGGTCACCAGCATTCTCAAGTTTCTCAATCAACAAACGTATCGGTCGCATCATGGCTTCACGGCACACCACATCAATGTCAGCGCCGGACATGCCCTCCGTGAGATTGGCACAAAGGTTCCAGTCCATATCAGGAACTGCCACATTCGGGGTTAGAATTGTTCGAAACAGCGCTGCGCGTGCCTCATACGATGGCAAACCCACAAGAATGCGTTTTTCCAAACGACGAAGCATCGCAGTGTCAAGGTCCCACGGCACATTGCTTGCCGCCAACACAAAAACAACCTCGCCACCGCGTCTCTTTGAGAGTCCATCCATCTGAATAAGAAGCTCCGTTTTCATCCGTCGTGAGCCTTCGTGCATACCCTCCCCCGAACGAGCTGACATGAGCGAGTCAATCTCATCTATAAAGATGGTGCTCGGTGCATAGTGCACTGCTAGGTCAAACAACAGCCGCACAAGTTTTTCACTATCACCACGCCATTTGGAGACTACACTAGAAGCAGATATGTTAAAAAAATGTTGTACGGCACTCGGTGGCTACAGCTTTCGCAAGAAGTGTTTTGCCGGTACCAGGTGGACCAAAGAGGAGAATGCCTTTCCAAGGTCGTACGATGCCTGAAAACAACTCTGGATACCTGACAGGCATAACTACCGCCTCCTTTAGTAACAGTTTCGCCTGATCTAACTCTGCTATATCACTCCAACGAACGTTGGGGTTTACGTCTAGGATGTCTCTCTGAATGGTCATAGCCAATTCCTGCTGTTCCCCAGTAAAAAAAGTGGGAAGTGGCTTTAACGCACGACCAAAGAATACATCTTCGTCAGCGTCACTCAAAAGGCTCTTGCCTTGAGAATCGTGCACAACATCAACGCGTGTTCCTTCCACGGCTATATTTCCATTTGCGTTCCATGCCAATTTCTTTTGATTGTTTCCCCGCGAAGGCTGTGGGGAATGTGATGGGCATGACTTTGAAGCGAGTGCCAAGCCTCTGGCAATTGTAGGTGGTTTTCCTGTAGAACGTTGCGTCTCCTGCACCCCACTTGGCGGTGCGTTCCCTAACTCTGTTACAGTGGTATAATTCACCTTGTCAGGGTTCACACTTGCTGCAGATTGCATTTGAGGTGTGCCTGAGGAGGCAGTGCGGCGGCAGCGCACCGCCATGCACTCTCCCTTGTAGGGTTCTGTCAAGACGTCTTGTGCACCTTCTACAGCCCGAAATAGCTTCACGCGACGATTAAACCGAAACTCAAAGTAATGCTCATACTCTGTGATGATGGTGAGAAGATCTATATTATCTGCAGGACAAACTTGTTGCAGAGATACATGACTTTCCTGCTGCAGCATCTGCAGTGCCCCTGTATAACCCCGATCAAACAGAAATTGCAGCACTAGTACTATGGCACCCTTCACGCGCTTCAAACGAATCTTCTCGTCTTCTTCACGAGCCTTATGCTGCGCCTTTATGGCCTGCAGCGACGAACCAGGTGTACTCTCAGGGTTGTTTGACATAGGTTGAAGACGCTGACAGTTTCTTTGTTGCATCTCACCCTCACAGTTCTCTCTCTCTCTCTCTATATATATATATATATATATATACCAGGAGGCATGTATAAATGCGGCAGCGTATGCAAATATAGAAGAACGCAAAGAGACGGAGCGACAATATTTCATAAAGCACACAGCAGAAACGGAAAAGAGTGAACAGGTAGAGAAATACAACAAAAAGAAGGCATTCAGAGAAAAATAGGTATCCCACACTGAATCTCAAATGTAAATATCAACAAGAGCCACGCACACGCAAAATAAGAAAAAAAAAGATATAAATAGGGAATAAACACAACAATTAATCTTGTTTTTTCTTGTTTCGCTGCCAGTTGGGTAGGGTGCGTGAAGAAAACAAAAAGAAATTATTAGCGTGGCATAGAAAATATGCACAGTGCCGCTTTACACCTGCGCACGCACGCACGTAAAGTCCGACAATAAGGTATATATATATATATATATACTGTGGTGGCAAGAGTACATGCTCCTCCCCTCATCTTCTCCCACCCACCTTCCTCCTTTCCTCTTCGATGGTTTCACTGGCTGTATCCATTTCGTTTAGGTTGCTGCTTCCGTCAATAATGGCACCTGCTAAATCTCCTGATAGCATTGACGAAAAACAAGCAAGCAAACAGAGAAGAGTCTTTTTCAACCGTTCTTGTTTTTTTTCCCCCTTTTTGTTTTGGGCCTCCCGTCTGGCGCTTTTACACACGAGCCTGGGATGGTATGCACGTGCGTGTGTGGACGCCAATTTTTTTATTTTTTCTTTTTTCTTTTCCTACCAGCCTATGCAGAAGCGGTCTTTGGCATCATCGGCGTGGTGACAGTATCAACCCAGAGCAGGTCCGACAGCACCCAACGCCCATCGGCGTCCATGTAGTAGCACAACAGCTTGCGCATTGCCGGTGGACACTCTGCAATATTTTTTGGAATACCAATCATATCTGAAATGCCTGGGGGGCAGGCAAGTTCTAGATGGCGGCCGGTACACATCCGAACAAGAAAGTCGAGTGGGGCCAATACTGCCTGGGCGTTCGACATGGCGAAAAAACGTGCGACGGCAATTCGCTGGTATTCGCTTTCATAGCCTCGGATGCGTTGATAATACCAGTCAAAATTGTGATCATAGCGCTGCGGAGGCGTCACAACATCAATTGAAGCCACAACACACGCCTTGGCCGTGGCAGGGATACGTGGTAACTGGCGTCCTCTAAAGGTAATAATCGTCTGACCCTTAAGCTGTTTCCCGCCTTCAGTGCTACCAACATCTAAACCCTCTCCTGCCGTCATTGACGACTTCACCGCAGGCTTCATCTCCTGTTCAGGAGTAGACCTCGCCGAACTATCACTAGTAATGTCGGGGGCTCTGCCCGTCCACTTCTCGGCATCAGGTGAATGGGAACTCACTATCACCGCCAATTGAACATCATCCATAAAGTGGGTTTCTTTCATATTATGACACTCATGAAAAAAAACCATGTTTGACGACAAAATATAGTCATTTGGAGCAGCAATACGAAGTACATTGGAGTCAAACACCCGCTGCTTGTTCCACATGTTGTACATTCTCTCGCCCAGTTCAAGAGAAATGGGAAGTATCTGCCTCAATGCCTCCGCCACCACCTTGGACGTTCGGCGTCCTTCTTTACCCGACTTCTCAGCAATATTCTTCACCTCATCGGCGAGATCCTTTGGGCTAATTGCGTACTGTTTGGTCAGAAGTCCCTTTAACTGTGCAAGAGCACCTGCAAGAGAAACAACTTTGCCAACTGGTAGCTGTGGCTTCGCTGCCTCTGCAAGCGTCTCACAGAGCACACCAAGGCCATAGTACGATTGTCGCACACCTTGCATAAACTCATTGGCACCGCATCCGCTGTTTTCTTCAGCCCAACGATCAAATGCACGAAGAACCTTATTCCCAGACACCGCACTTTCCGTCGACACATCCGTCTGAACATCTCCTTCGGCATCTGCCTCACGAGGCGTATCAGGCGGTCGACCCGTAGTTCGACCTCGACGGAGGAACAAACTCGTTGCGTTGTCACCGCCGAAAGTCACCGAGGCCCCTACAGTACGGTTCCCATTTCCATTCGTATTCGTGAAGTTCACACATAGCGGGATGTCGTGGAGGGCGCGGCTACCCAGTGCTGCGTGACCAAACATGGCTGGCATAGCACTCCACACGGATGCCATCAGGGCGTGTCGCCAGCTGCCCCGGTGGTAACCATCGCTACCGGGGAGTCGCGCCATTACTGTAGGAGAGCGACGCATTGCCGTTGTTGCCTTGTTGTGTTTTGCCGTGTAAGTGTTTATTTTCCACCTTTTTTTTCAAACTTCTCTACCGACAACCGATGTTTTTCTCTTCCTGCTCCTCCCCTTGTGGTAATATTTAATATGCCTCTCTCTTTTCCCTCCTCCTCCTCCCACCCACACGTTTGCACCCACACAGCTGAGAGAATCTGGAGGGGGGAAAGAAAACACATAGAGCACATAGAAAACAACACTCAACAGACAAAAAGGCTAACACAATCCACCCATTCACAAAGACATATATATTTGATCAAAATACAGAAACGTGTACGAGGTGTACAAAAAAAGGGAACATTCAAGAGTAGTAAAGGAAAAGAAAAAAAAAACAATTAATCAAAAAAAAAAGAAACAACTATCACAGAAAAGCAAGAGAAGATAAGCACACAAAAAAAAAACAAAAAAAACGAAAAAAAAGAGTCTTTTAAAAGAAGTGAGGGTGCAGTGATGCAAGGAACAACCCGTGCAACGGTCATTTTGGCGTCACGGCCCTTTGGGTCATTCGCATTCGTGTCCGCAACAGCCACAACTGGTTTGTCGTGAAGACACCACTCAATGACATGCTCACGCGTGAGTCCGAACACGTCCATCGCGTAGAACCCCTCTAGCTGTGCGTTCATAATTGGCTTCAAATAGCATATGCGCCGCAGCTCGGTGCCGCAGATAGGAAAATGCCTCAACGCAGACTTCGTACCGGAACACCCACCGTGACTGTGGCACCTTTGACAGGCGTACAATGTTGCTACCTGCCCTACGCAGGGCGCACAAGTCCCCCAACCAAGCATTCTTTCAGTATGAACGAAAACCAGACATCAGCACACTGTTATTGGCAATCTCGCACACACCCACCATGCACAAATTTCAAAAAAAAAATATAAAAAATACAGCAGTGCTACATTCCTCAATAAGTCGTTGCTCAATGTGGTGAAAGATAAGCGCCCCATCGGAGGCAAGTGCCACATTGAGCCCACGCCGGAAGAATATTGAGAAAGGACTGTCAAGTTATTCGCAAAGAAGTGCTTTGTTTAAAAGAGGTGTCATACCAAGCAGAATCTGTGCCAAATAGTACATGCACCAAAGAACAGGTGAATCCTTAAGATTGATGCCGTGATTGATCTCATCCACAACAAGGAAAGCATCCGTCATGTGATCCGGATCCCCACTCTCTCCTGCATGGGGACAAAATAAAAAAGTGGAGAAGCCCCGTGCGGCACGGTGGCAATTCGGTGCGGTGATATTTCCCCACATGTAATACATTGAGTAGGCAAAGGTCGGATTCTCCTGAAAGGTCCACTGAGATGGTGGAGCATCAACAAGTGTGTCGGGCTTGCGCTCGCTTTCGTTGTTGACTCCGTCAAAACCGCTGACGTGAGCGAGAATGTGGCTTGGAAAAAGACGTGCCTCAGGATTGATGGAGGCCTCTCAAAGTGGTGCAAAAACGTTTACCAACATCTCACCAAAAGAGAAGATGATGCCATTCTTACAAGTAAATTGAATAACGCCGCAGCATTTGCACCATCCAACGCATCGTTAGATGCGACAAATGATGCAGGACAATCCATCGCACCAGCTGACCTCAGTCATGACGTTGACAGCCATAGATGGAAAGGCAATACTCGGAAAACGTATGACCGTCCTCCGCCTAACAAAGAAATGTTTGACGTATCAACTCAGCAACGTAACAACCTCCCATGTAGTTGTCCGTCTTAAAGGGTGCAGAGTGCCGAGTTACTGAGAGGACTGTGGCGGCCATTAAATTCATCAAAGCATTTGAAGGTGTCTTTCCCCGCCTGAACTTTAAGCAGGGCGACAGTTAGTTTCTCCACGTTGACTGCGGCCCCTTTCCTTACACTTGTGGAGTTCGAAGTTTTGCAAAGAACTCACCAAATGTCAAAAAACGCCCGGTGTCACGTTCCACATCTACAACATCATCAGCATGCTGTTTAGCCTTCTGCCTGATAGAGCTCAACAGTTCCTTCGCCGTCATGCCCACCGCCATGTGACAGTGCATCATCCACCCTGACACACTTGTACAGATCACCCTTCTCAACCAGCGGGGACATGCAGCGGGTGTGTTGCTCCTGATGGTCATTTGTGGGAGCGGCAAGAAGGTTTAACGTACACTCCAACATTTCCAACCTCTTTGTGGCAAAAAGTTGCATGAAACGCTTGTGACACTCGTTGTAGCTGCCGTAATTCCAAACTAAAACCTGCTCCACGTTGGTAAAGATCAAAAATATGCCTTTGTGGCACCATTAGCATCCGCAGGAAGAACCGCATCAAATACTTCGTCTCGCGTAGAAAAACTTTTCAGGAATATCGTCATGCGTTTCCCGCTTCAGAGAGAATTAAAAACATTGGAGAACAAAAGCGTCCCCTGCATGCGTTGCTCTTCCTCTGTGGGCATCTCGACACCCTGCACAGCAAGCAGTACATGCACCACTTTGGCAATCTGAAGCCGCTTCGTTGGGGGGGGGGGGGGGGGGTTCAAAATGCATGTTGAAGCTTCTATAGTGTTGTTGTCGGAGAAGAAGCTTCAAAAGTGCTAGAACCCCATAACTTCTCTCTTTGCTTTTTGGCACCAAAATAACTGTCTGTGGATACTCAATCTGTCGCTCCACAAAATTCCACCACATCTTACCCCCATCGACCATGGAAGGTTGGTTGTGATGCGGAACCTTGAAAAAAAACGCCATAGTGTCTCACGATGCACTGCAAGCGTGAGTGGTGTCTGTGAAAGCGTCGCAGCGTGGGGTGAGGCGTCCCCCATCGTTGTGGGTCAAAGAAGCGCCGTCGTGAGGCCGTCTTCTTCTTCCCTGCTTGAGACCATGAAACCAGATTTCGTCGTCAGGCCTTTTCGACAAAGAAGGCTCATTTCATTTTGTCAGCATCACATCAACTCCAGAAAATACAGGCGTAGGGAGTTCACCTGCATTTTCGTGAACTCATTATACCGTGCACAGGACCCTTCCCCAGGGCCCACCAAACATCTTACACCCCTTTTCCATGCTCCAGTTGGCATGCTCGGCGGAGTGAAGGCACTACTCCGTGATCTCGGCCAGAACAGGATGGCAGCTCCTCTGAATTCTGTTGAGCGCATCACAAAGGGCTTTGTCACTTGTATTGTAGTGCAAGGGGTCAGGTGTAGTAATCGAGCCGTTGAAGCCGGCTTCATCAATGAAGCGTGCATCTCGCTTCAGTGTAGAAGCAAAAAAAAAGGTAATGTTGTTTCGCGACGGGGTAACGATGATGCGGCGCCGTGTCAAGGAGCACAAAAAGGCCGATGGGCCCCAATGAAATATCTCTACTGGGTGCGTCAACTCATCAGCGATGAGGAGCTTCGTCACACCTTCCGTGAAGGAGTTTTTGCTTGTTGCTGAGGCGCTCAATATATATATATATATATATATATATAAACAGGGGTCGAAACAAAATGGGTCCGTGCTACCAAAAACAGTGATCACTCCGGCAAGAAATACTGGGGTTCCACGTAGTCTCTCCCCTCAATTGCTTCTGCCGCTCTCGTTTCGATTTCGCCTTCACCTTTATCCAAGGCAAAGTAGCGCTGTGAAACCACCACGCAATTTAACAGCTGAAACATTCCGCCAAACATGATAAATAAAAAAGACATCTTGTGGCACTATGCCACTTTCCACAGAGTGCCTCTTTAGATTGTTGACTCTCTGCATCTCCTGCAAGCCGGCATTGCTGCTGACACCCACCACCACGGATGCCAGCTGTTGAAGAAACTGCACCACACCTCGGAGTGTACCTGTGGTTGCAGAAGAGCCAACAAGATTGAACCAAAAATATTTCGTAGCACATCCTCCATGTCATTGACAACACCGCCAGCTTTACTCGCGTACTGTGGTTGTTGCACAATTCACAAGGCCAATTGCACATCCCCCGTCGCAATGAGTCCTCTACGGACACATCAAAACACAATGTGTTACACCTCCCCAGCCACACGTCCAGTGAAGGTAAATTCGGGCTCCAGCACGGCATTTTCCATTGCTATAACTTTGGACAACATCGGCAAGACAAACTGTGCAGGTAACTCAGCTTCGTTCCCAGCATAAATATTCATAAAGCGCTTAAGTGGTGACATGATGTGGGACTTGATAGACTGCGTTGCATTCTGTGTTTTAAAGACATCCAAACTGCACCCAGTGGCCCCAACGTCGTTTGGTAGCAATCCCAAGCCATCCACCGTGAAATGACGATTCCCCGGTAGAAGCAACGGACCAAAAAAAAATGTCCATCGGCTCCTTTAGTGTGAGGTCAGGTTCGTCAAGACCCCCCATTGTTGTGATTCGTATTTCTGTTATTTGCCGACTGCGGACCTTCACTTTTCACGCAAAGACTACTCGTTCCTGCACTCGAGGACAAATGTGCACTCTGTGTTGACAGCACCATGTCCGGCTCCGTCGCCAGCGGCTGCTGCATAAACTCCACCAATGTAGTGGCAAAAACGCAACTCCCAATGCGTTGAATGTCGAGCTTCGGTGCAAGCTCGTAACTTCCGCCTCCGAGTGTCGAGTAGAAATAGTCCTCACGCACGCCATTAAAGGCACGATAAATACGATAGCGACTCTGCAGGACTTTAATGCAGGGCTCACAGGCAGAGAAGAGCACAGGGCTGGCCATCACCTGACAAAGCTGCTTAAACTATGCACGAAATGTTTTGAGTCAAACAGAGACTGCGACTTAAGAAACACACCCATCGTTTTATGTCGTGGGGCGCAAATAACCCTTCATGACAGTGCAAACAAGGGCCAGGAATGCCGCGACTCCACCTGTGCAATCTAGATATGCGACAAAGATTTATAAACCGACTCCAACTGAGGCGTCAGAATTGTGTGCAGCCCCCGTGCCTCCTTTGAACGCGTTGCGCTGCATGAGGTGCGAGCCGTCAACGCTGGCAAGTCCAACCTCCCGCCATGCGACATTCAGTGAGAGTGGAAAGACCCGAAGAACGGAGGCAATCCAACGAAGAGCCTTCATATGCAGAGGGGCGGTGATGGCAAAAGGCTTATCAGCCTTGTCGTCGTAAATACGCATCTCATGTCACTTATCTTCCATGATGCATGGGCCCTTTTTGTTTCTTTTTTTCCCACTCTCCCCCAGTAGTTTCTCCTACGAATAGGGACAAGCTTATTGCGTTCATTTCCACAATTTCTTTATCAACACAAGTGTATAAAAATATATTAGTGGCTTGCTTTGGTGTTAGTTCCGTCCTCGCAAACCACTTTCTTCACCTTCCTTCCCTTTACCCACTCCACTCACTAAGAAGAATAATAATAATAATAATAATGAGCGAAGAGGATCACACTGCACTGTACAATAACACGAACACACCCCAAATGTGTGATGAAAGCAAAGGAAAAAAAAATAAAATGAAAAAAGGCTGCTTGAGAGCGTGTGTATGTGCCTCTTAAAACTCTCTTTACGCGAAAATTTATCGTCAAGTTAACTAGTGAAATCCTCCATGAAGTGACATCCCCGTCTTTCACACAAAGAGGCGGCAACAAGAATAGCGCAGAAAAAAAAGAGCACGACTGTAGCAGACGGAACAAATACATCAAAGATAGAAATCGATGACAGGGCCATCAGGAGAACACAGGAAATTGATGATGCATGTCCACGTTTTTTCGTGCCTCCGCCCCTGTGCGCTTATTGCGGCGATACGCGTCCATGACAGCCTCGCGCAATCGCTGCATCTCCTCCTCCTTGGACAGTTTCTTGAATGCACCGACGGGGCGAGTCGGCGCCGCGGACGTGGCAACGGGCCCCAAGCCAAGCCTCTCTAAACGCCGTCCCTCCCCAACACCGCTAACTGAGGACAAGAGCTGCAGGCGCTCATGCTGCGACGACGCAATCCCTTTTTTGGAGGACTCCCGCGAAGAGAATTCCAGTCTTTTGGCTAGACGGGAGATGGAAGCGTCGTGGCGCGGAAGGGCATCAAAGACGGGGGGAGCCTCCACACGTTCGCCGTACCGCACAACATCCACCAACTCGCAGAAGTCACGGGGCACCTTAGAGCCTTTGTCTCCTGGGTAACGCATCGCTCTGTGAGGGGCATCCGTCCCTGTGTTCTCGACCCCATCTGAAAATGTAATCTGCTTGCGGCTTCTTTTTTTGGTATCCTTTTCACTCTTTCCTGCGGTTTTTTTCTCAGCCGCAGCCGCAGACTCTGTTTTTTCCTTTTCCCGCTGCATCTGCTTCAGCTTCCTTTCAAAAGCAGCATTTTTGGCGTCAACCCGATCTGCTCTATTGCGCTTCTTACCACCTTTGACAGAAAAAACTTCCTCCTTCAGTTGCTCTTCCGTCTTGCGCAGGGCCTCCCGAACACGTTCCCGTCGAGCTTCTGCCTTCTTTCGATGCTTTTTTTCCTTCTTCCTCGCAATAATGGCTTCCACGCTGTCTTCTTGCCTCTCCCGCTCCTCAGCATCGAGTGTTTTGAAGGCTATGATGGGGCGTGTAAGCGATGCAGCTATTTCCTCGTTGAGGGCCACAGGTGTGATGAGTGACGTCTTCTTTGCCTTCTTCACACAGTTCTCCTTCCTTTTCTTTGCCACCACCTCCGTGGCGGGGGGGCTCACGTTTGATGGAAGTGTCGTCTGTGTAACTGAAGAAAAAGTGACGGTAGGGGAGGAGGCACACCCGTTGAACTCACACCGTTGCTCACTATTTGTTGCCGTGGTTGATATTTGTTCCTCCGTATCCCTCTGTTTCTTTTGCAGCCCTTCTTCTCGCTGCCGACGTCGTTCCTGAAGCCGGTTCTTCTTTGCCATGAGGTATTTCATCACGGTCCTCTGACTTACGGGGTAATCACGCAGGCTGTCGTTCTTCATGGATGATATCGGAACCTGGTTGGCCAACTTCTTGCGCTTCTGCTCACGCTGGAATGGCGACAACTTTGGGTTCTTGTTGCGCCTCCGTCTGTGCTCCTTGTGGTGCGGCACACGCTGTCGCCTGGCCATGTCTTCCTCCTGCTTTTGTCTCTTCTTTTTCCTGTACACGCAAAACCATTGAGGGCAAAAAGAGAAAGAGAGAAAGAGGGCACAGAACAAAAAAAAAAAAAGCCTCAACAGCAACGCAGTCGTCATGAAGACTATATTGTGTCCATGTACGCACGAGAAGGCGCTGCCATGAGTCATCAAGTAACGATGGGATTTGCAATATATATATATATATATATATATTGATTTTTCATTCTCTCTTTTTTTTTCTCCCTCTGCTTGCGATGCCCATTCCACTCATTTATTCTTCTGTCCAGATCCCTTTGCTTGACTTCTCTCACGCTTCGGACAGCTATGCACTTAATTTCACCTAAAGTATAGTCAAGACAAGATTCGTCTCCACGTTACTTTGTTAAACGCCTTATCGTGTCGCGTCGCCATTCCACAACAAGGAGCAGAGTGCATGTACATCATGCCCTGCTCCTTCTCACACCAATCATGCCTCACCAAGATGCCGTCTTCACCTGCACGGGGTAGTGACAAATAACATCCGCCACTACTCCCTCACCTCCTCATTACAGGCACCTCTCTCCCCCTTGCTGCTCGCTGTTGCTCTCGCAGTGTATGTGTGATTCAAGCCGTGTTTTCCACCGTGGCCAGGTGGTCCGCAAACTCCTTTGCAACAGCATCTGAAAGTGTGAGCGACACCCGCACATGACCGTCCACCTCAAACTGGTCAAGAAGCTCCTTCGCTCTGAATAGAGTCATTTTTGATGCAAACACCACACGAAAATGCTGCGGGTACAGCATCCAGCACGTTACGAACCCAGGGATATCCTTTAACTGATGGCGAAGTTCTTTTGTGTGCATGCGCGCCGACGTCGTCGCTACGGCAGTGACCATGTCGGCCTGACGCACGGTTGATTGGAGGAGTGTGTGCGAGTCGTTGGCATCACCAGAGGATGGGTCTCCATGTTGCTGCTTTTGCTCCTTTTTCTCATAAGCGGTATCGTCCCGTTGCCGTTTACGCGACTTTACTTGCCGCAGCACCTCACCCTCTTTCTTGCCGGCTACAGTGAGGAGAAACTTTGGGGGGTGCGTAAAGTACGGCGCGTGCCGAAGCGCCATGACCATATCCTCCAATGAGGCAAAGACAGTCTCATTGCCTAGAGGGGGGTTCACACACTCAACCAGCGTGCCACCATCGCCTTCTTCCTCACCTTCCAGTGTCATCGGCGTCACTGCCTTCTCTTCTTCTTTCGTTTGGTAGGAATGTTTGCTCTCGCGCATGCCGCTACGACTTGGCAAGTACACGCTTGCGACATCACCGTCTGCCTTTCCGTACACGGCGACCTCGACGGATCGGGTCTCCGTGCGGGCACTGACGGTGTAGCGGCACTGTCGTCTCTTCTGTCCCTTTCCCAGTGGGGATGATGTCACCCCATCTGCGTTCTTCACAGTCGACGACGATGGCCGCTGCTGCAAGCCATGAAAATGCTGCTCGTTCAGGCAGCAGTATCGTGGTACAGCCTCCTGGTGTACCTTTGCAAAATCGTTTTCAACATTTGTGATAACAACAACGTATCGCTCCCCATCTTGCGTCGCTTCCGCCCTTTTGTGTTTGTTGTTGATAGGCGTGACAGCACCTTTGCGCGCGGCCAACGCAGGTCCGCTACGCATCCCGCTAGACTGGCGCTGCGTGTTGCCCTGACGCGGTGGATTCTTCCCTAAATGTCGGTGCCCCCCGTGACTGCTCCGTTTGGCCTTTGCATCGGGTGTCGTCGTTGCCATATCCGCCCCGCTCTCTCCTCCTACACAAATGTATACGTCCTTCTCTCCCTGCGTGCAGGCGCACACCCCAACAGCGGCCGTATATATAAAATATTTAAAAAAAAACATACAACGATAAAGAAATTGATAGAAAATATATGCGTGTGTGCAAGGGCGAAAGCAAGAGAAGAGAGGGAAACAGATCCATGAGATACACAAATAAGAATACAAGCCACACATGCAAACAAGTAAAAATCATAGACAACTACATCATCACCACCACCACTGATGCCGTCGGTGGCTTCTCAGAGTTTGTCGTAGCGGTATTTAAGCTGGGCGAGTCGCAGGAGGTCATTCTTCTCGGAAACAATGGAGCGGACTGCCTGTGCAAACAAAATGTGCATCCCGGGTTGCCAAAGCACCAGCACCAACTCCATCCAGTTGTCTGCGACTCCAAAGAGCAATGGACCCTGCCGTGACATGTGTGTGTAGTATGCACGCATCACGTTCAGCCAATACAGCGCAGGCCACAGAGCAAGAAAACTCAAAATATATTGATACCGCGGCATCTCTGTCATCGAAATCGCAGCCTTGGGTGCGCTGTTTCTCTCTCCACTCACGCCAGCAGCTCTTTCCTCAGTGTAGCTCGCTTCAACAAGAGCAGCGGCATCAATGCGAAGAGTACGACGACATGCATGCAGGTCACACAAACCACCGGTCCCTAGAAGAATACATGACGTCAAAATCGCAATGGACCCTCCAAATGTCAGCGGTGCACCATCGTCAAAGACAGCGTACACAAGAGGGTAGCCAGCTGTCAGCATGCCAAGGTACAGGAAGGCCAATAATAGTTGCATAACAGCAAGAGCATATAGTGGTGTCAAACTTGAGCGCATAGACTCTGCAAAATAATGAAGCACCTGTACTTGCTCCTGCGTACTCAACGCATCATCAGAATCAATCAGTCTTTTTGCCCTCGCGGCTTCAGACTCACGTATATTTCCCGTCCTATAGCGCACAGTCGCCCTCATGCACCTGAAATATGTGTGTACACCCTAAATCAGCATCGACACCAGCATAAAGTAAAGAAAAACATATCAGCACAAGATGATACATCACACACAAGCTAAAAAAATAACAACAACGAGAAACACTAAAACAGGGAAAGTCAAAGCCGTTACACATCCATAATGGACTAATATTACGAGGGTTCTATGCGAAGGAAGGACGCTGAGCCCCAAACACCTTCCACGCGTGATGGCAATCAACCGGAGTAGCGGAAGAGTTGAGCGAATACTTGCAGTAACAAAAACCAAACAGCTTTTGCTTGACTTCATCCCAAACCCGCAGGTTTCCCCTTGAGATGAGGGAGAAAAATAAAGTAAAGAGTAGCACCACATACAGAGAAAAAAAAAAAAAGTTGGTAATATAAAAGTATGTATGTATGTATTGGTGGTCGCGTCTGCCCACATCCTTTCCAGAAGCTAATAGCATCCTAGAAATTGCAAGGTAAACTAAAACACCTCTTCTTTATTCCTTCTCAGCCCCACCATCACGGACCCCTGCTGAGCAGGACAAGATAACATTTTAACAGAGAAAAGTGGGCATTTATTCACCCACGCTCTCTCTGTCTCTACATGCATCACATCTACATCACCTGACCCTCAATTAGCTCCTCATTTTCAGTGGCCAAAAATTCACAACAACACCGAGGCTGAGAGGGAGGCACAAAACGACTTCACGCCGCCACCATTAACCGTCACGACGCCTTCCCCTGCCCAACCAATGTCGTCCGTAACCTGCAGTAGCTGTGGTACAAGAATAATACGCCTCCTTGCCGTGGACAGCCCGCCATTTTTAATGCTGCTATTCGCCTTTTCACCTCTAACATTATTCGGGGGGTCAGGTGAGGGCTTACCCTCGTCATGATCCGCGCCGTCATTGCCAGCGGCACTACCGGTCCTCGCTTTGTCCCATCCTAACTCTGAAAAATCAAGCTCCTCGCCTCCATCCTCATCGTCCACAACTTCCGCATACAAGTCTGGTGCCCTCTGCAGGAATTCCCGTTGCTCTGGGTTGTAGTCTAACTCGACATCCTTCCATGCCTCCGCAATTCCCTCGCGAAGCCGCGACAGTAGCGCAGAATCCGGATCCACATTGTTCCAACCATGTTGTTCGATGTCGTAAAGGGGGCGTGCCACCTCCGTACTGTCACTGCCCAGAATCCAAAGGATGCCGCCACGCACGCCCACGACGACCGCTATCTCATTCATCCATGGTCCCCGAGTAAATCGAATGCACTGTTCATGACCCACACCAAATACATGTTCGCAAAAACATGGATGAATCGAAAAAAAGGCAACAACACGGTTTTGGATATGATAGGGCACTTCTCGGAGGATGTCGCCATACTTTGGCGGGGTAGGAGGGCCTGGAATTATCTTCTGTAACACTGCCGATGCCGCACGCGAAACGAGGTCTACTGCCTTAAATGACCGGATCCCCTTCCGTTTCTCCACATTCGCCAAAAATGGTGAGGAGCCAGAGTACGGAATAGACGGTGAATGCTTCACGGAACCACGAGAAGCCCGCCTCGCGCCACTGAGCCGCATCTCGCAAAAATGTTCACACTACAAGGTGCATAAAAAAGAGAAAGTATAGAGAGCAAAAAAATATCATAATTTGTAGCCACAGATAGTACGAAACGGACAACCATACCCAAAAACAAACAAACAGATAAATAGACTTAGCAGGCGCACAAGTTAACTCGCACGTGAATGAAGAGTGGGCGCAGGGGCACCAGATTGATAAAAAAAAAAACGCATAGTGCACGGAAAAAGTAAACAGAAGCCAAAAAAGAAGAAAGCTGCAGCTATGAAATAAGACCCCGGCAAAGTGACCAGGCTGCTCCATAAATATGTATGTGGAACAACACAGTTAACGAGGCAGTGCACGCTTTCATTGCTCCTTTTTGTCTCCTGTCGTCCTCATGGTTTTTCCTTTATCACAACCCAAACATCCGCTGAGAGCAAACTGCCCTCTTCTCCACGTGCAAAGCAAAATACAAATCAACATTACAATAACAAGCAACAAAAACAACGATGAAACAGGCTCAATCATCTTCTCGGAGGCGCTCGTCTCCAACTGAAGTTCGTTGTTTCTAAAGCTGCAATCATCATCTGCCACCATCATGACTGTTTCCCATGCACTGAGAACCTCACGGAGTCGCTTCGCCAAAGCCACTCGACGTGGTGCAGAGGCAAAGAGCGTTGACAGCAAACTCTCAAATTTGCCTCCGTCATCCACACCGTCCCCTCTTTTCACTTCCGATGAGGTTGTAAATGCATGCACGGGAGTCTCATTCTTATTTAGAGCGTTAGCAAACGCTTCATAACGCCGGCACTCGGAGTTTTTCGTAAACTCAGGGAGCTCTCCCGTGTAAACGAAATACCAAAAATCACGTACAATGCTGAAGGCAAAAGATGGACTCTCACTTTCATGGGTCACAAGACTTGCGAGTGAGTCACGTACACGTGCTGATGTAACCAGATCCGCCTCACTGCTCCCAAGAGAACGGGAGGAAAGGTCATACACCAACTTGTCCAAGACATGCAACGAAGCTTGAGGGGATGAAAATGAGCTGAGACTGCTAGTGTCGGTGAAGACGGCGACGCGACCCATCATCATCTTACTTTCCCGGCACATTTTTCCACCTTCTGCGAGACCACTCCTCGATCTTTCTTCAGTGTTACCGTTACCCACACCGGCAAACCCAAAAAGCGGGATAAATGCCTCTGGATGCACCTTCCTCAACACATCGTTAGCCCCCCTGAAACTGCCACCTTCCCCCTTTCCCTCTTCACCAGCCCTTGCAATTTCATGCAACTCCCTCGCCCACAACTTCTCCATACCACATACCATTGTTGTCCTTGCCATCTGTTCAGGCTGCGGCAAAATGGTGGAGCAAGCATTTCTTGCTGGGGGCCAACGTAGCACACCAGCGGCGCTCATTCGACCAAAATAACGGTACACAGCCTGCCCACTCCACCCCAGGTGGTACGGAGAGAAAAAGGTGGAGGTGCTTGCAAGCGACAACGCGCCATCCACAACTCGGTCGTCGTCAAGCTGAAGAGTCCCTTGACTAATATCACACAGAAACGCATTTAATGAAGGGACATGACAAGCGCCCTTCAATCCTTGTGCCCGCTGCTCATTGTCTTCACCGACCACGTTAGATGCCGTCATATTCTGTTTTGCCCAAAATAAGGGCGAGGATGTCTGATTTTGCGTGGCATCGCAGAAGAAGAGTCCTCGTGCCACTTGTTCGCTGTACCACTCGCTGAATATCACCACATGCAATTGATGACGCAAAACCGCATTGGCAACGATGGCACGCTCCTCCTTCATAAGTGGAAGTTCCGGGTCCAGCAACAGCAACGTCCCAATGTTGCGGTAGTAGCGCTGTAAGTAAATGCGCCAGTGCAGATTGAACGCCGTTGCATTCCCATTCAACGCAACCCCCAGAGACAAGTAACTCACCAGAGGCACCTCAACAAATATTCCCATTACACGACGGAGAAAAAGAAGTAGTGGCACCATATTTGTGTGCGGATGGTCACTATCGCATTCATAGACACCATGACTTTCAGGGCGAGTTTGATGTTCCTTGTGCTGGTGTTGAGCTTTAGGTAAAGGGTTAGTATAAGCATCATCGCCTGGTACAAAATCAGGTGGATAGAACCATTGATGGCTAATGTCAAAGGCCATACGTCGAGCACGCGGAGGTCGTGGAACAACGGGAATCTTAAACGGTATGGTGACACATTCTGAGTTACACCATGTTTCATTTTTATGTATTGGCCCTTGCAGAGTTGCAGGATAAGAGGTATTACAAGTGTATGTCACCTTCACAAAACCCGAAACCTCAATAAGATCAAAATGTCCCAGCAATTTCTCAATGACACCTGCTTCCAAAACTTTCGTGGTTGATGGTGATGATGGCGTCCATCGAACGCTAGATGCATTCGATGGCGACAAGGCAAAAAGTGAGACCACTCCACTGTACGCATCAAGGGTGTGCGATGCCTGTGCCTGTAGGAAGAGAAGTTGCTTAGCGATAAGCACATCTATGTTGGAGGCGTGACACCGACCACGCCGATGAGGGCTACACATACCTCTCGCACCCGTAATCCCTATCCATGGTGTAGTATGGGTAAGTCGTGCAGCATGGCACTGTGGATAGTAAATATTAACGGTGTATTCCACTGGTGTCGCCGAAGGGAAAAGTGGTTGCTCACAGTATGGCCAGTTGACCAAACATTGAGGCAATGCGGATGATACCTCTTCTCCATGAGGAAGTTGATGCGCACCTGTGGCGTCAATCTCCCTTGGAAAAGAAAACCCTCTCAAAAACGTGCGCTGTTGTCCCACCGCTTCGACACGTGAAAGTGCACACATCGGGCACACCTCTCCGGCGCCTTGGCTCATGCGACTGTACTGCAATACATTTCGGTAGTGAAGAAGGCTCCGCGCCATGGCGATGCCGTCACGACGGCTGGATGCACTACTTCCCCCACGACGCCACCAGTCGCGTCGACGCGGTGCTGAAATATCGTGCTCTTCCTTGCGAAGCGCTGCCTCTATAACACGCATTGCAGACCCTTTAGGATTAATCTCAACCGCCGTCTCCATCAGTACCTGTTTAATCATGGCAACATTTACACCTGAATTCCTGCGCAAATATAAATGTTGAAGAGCGTCAATGCAAAGAGCCACGATTCCCGCCACAATTGGTGTGGCTACGCTCGTACCGTGCGAAACCCAGAGCGATAGCGTACCCAACCTCCTGTCACGTCCCACACCAAGAACATGCTCGCCCAGTGCCACAAGATCCGGCCGTACTCGACCCGTTCCATATGGCATCTCCCACGTACTCGGGCCCCTACCCGAAAACGTTGAAATCCAACGCATTGTTGAATGTATAGAAGACTTGTTAGTTTCTGCATCATCCACGCGCGCAGTAAGGCGTCGTCCACGCGTTCCAAGCGATCCCACCGCAATCACCTCGGTTTGATCGGCGGGGTTATGCAAAGATCCCATTCCGGGACCCTCATTCCCTGTGGCAGCCACCACCACCACACCCTTCTTCGCCAATTCAGTAATCTTCTCTGTAAAGACAGTGTCATAGTAATCTATCCCACCAAAAGACAAATTAACAATATGCGCACCCCATTGAAGAGCAAAATTCAACGCCGCCACACACCAAGAGGTTCGGGTATCACGGTTGTCATCAAACACACGTAGCATGTGAACATCCGCGCCGGGCGCCATCCCAAGATATTGCATTCGCGAAGAAAGTGGTCCTTTACACCCCACGACACAGTTGTTATCGGACGCGGCGCCTTTTCCCCCGTTAACACCATCTTTGAGCCCCTTCAGAAGTGAAATATTTCCAGCCATCACAGAGACACTAAAGGTACCATGACCATCTTGGTTATTCTCACACGGTAACCCCGGCACAAAGCTTGTACACATGCGTAGCGGCTGCGCGGTGCTGGCTGTTCCCTCGTAGTTCAACGGTCGTTCAAGTGACGAGGAAGAAACAAGATGGGGATCAAGCCCGGTGTCCAAGAGAGCAATACGAACACCCCTACCTGTCCAATTCATGGTAGCGGAAAGTCCAAAGTACCGCCGCGGGTACAACGGTCGCGCTGTAGTAAATCCTTTTCGAGGTGCAGCCGACGCAAGAATCCGATTACCGCCAAACAAAAAGTCCTTTACCACACGAATGATAGAAACTCTCCCCACACACGAAAGGAAAAGATCAAACGTCTGAAGCCCTTTTTGAACACATTGCATACTGTGTTTTCTGTGCGGTGCTAACACACGCACCATAACAAAGTCTTGCCACCCCCCATCTGTGGGTAAGTAGAGGTTAATGAGCAAACGGCCACATGTGTTGCCCGCCCATCGCCACTTCCACCAACGCTGAATCTCTTCAGCCAACCCCGCAATACTCTCGGGGGTGAGGTAGGTATTAATAAACACAATGTAGTCGGTGCCATGATAACTGTCACTATTGCCTGGGAACTGCACGTCTCCTCGCGTTGGTAGCGCATGTGTCAATACCAAAAAGAAAAAGAGGAGGAATACGAAGAGGAAATTCACGGCCAAATGGTGAGACTGTGCCATGAACGCGAAACCTTTCCTCTGGTTGCATCTCATTCGCTTATCCTCTTGTTGCTCTGCCTGTATTTAAAGAATAATAACAAAAGTAAAAGAAAAGCCAAAACAAAAACAAAAACAAAAATAAATAGAAGGCTGACACCCTCCTAAATAACCTCCGGATAACAATGAACATTACTTAGCTGCGGTTGTCAAGCACCCGCTTCACATTTTTACTTGTCCATTCTTAGTTGTTTCTCGCATGGGACTGTGGGGATGCTTCTCATGCTGTCGTCAGCTATGTAAATATACATCAGTTGTTGGGGAGCTTCAAAAATTTATGAGGAATATCCCTCTATGTGTCATTCCTTCATTTGTTTTTCCCTTCTTGTATCTGGCGCTCTATTCCCTAATGCTGTTGACTCAACTCGTTCCATTGAGGCTCGATGCGGGAATCAGCGGTGGGGCACGCGTGTTGGTGTTCAGAAGCCGCTCTGCCAGCCACCGAATGGGATTCTCCGGTTTTGCTTTAGACAACTCCACGAGTGCAGGTAACAAGGTCCCCTTCAGCTCTGCCTGCACGTACTCTCTCGAGGCAGCGGTGGTTGGTACATCCTGCACTAACATACGTGGAAACAGTAGCTGAACCACCTGCTTTGTCGCAACGGCAGCAGCGTTGCAAAACAACGGACATGGAATCCAGGGCCGTTCGGTTTTTGCTTCGTGTTCTCTGTCTTTTGTCGCTGTCGCTGTGTTAGCGTCATCGTGCACGGCCTTTTCTTGAATTGACATCAGCAGCGATGTAAAGTCCGCGTCTGCAAATACATGATCCAAAAAGCGCAGTAATTCCGTATGACAGTCCCGTCGTGCCAGCACGTACAAGTACACGTGCCCCACAAGCTCCTGCACCCCTGTTGGGAGGGACGTCGCGTGCTCGCATGTAAACATAGGATGGGATGCCCCCAGAGGTTCGGAGGGAACCAGTGGTGTGGCGCTACCGCTGAGGAATGCGGCACGATCGAGCTGAACGCCGATGGTGTCTGCCATCTCCTCATTGATGCGCCGGTATTCTTCATATACAATAATAAATCCCGCCTCACACAGCTTAAACTTGATCATAGAAAGCAACTCCCGTTCCTGCGCATATTGGGAACGTACAAAAAGAGCCGCCTTTGAAACCACACCACTGAGAGCTGATGCCATTCTCGTTCCTCTGCCGTTTGTTATTCCTTCCTTTTTTTTCCACCGTGAGTCTGCCGTAAAATAAATGGCCTCAAGTATTAATGTACGTGTTACCGCTGTGGTCGTCAATGTGGCGCTCTTTTCTTGTCGTCTATCACGGAACACCCACCGTCGTCTCGTGTCGGTGCACACCCCTCCTCGCCGATTCTCTCACTCTCGCCGAGTGCGTACCCCCCTCAAAAGCGACCTTAACGCATATGCATGTGCGCATAGTTTCCGTGAAACCCCGACGCAGCAGCAGAGAAAAAAAAAGAAGAAGCACACAAAACCACAAAAAGAGATGAGTTAATAGACAAAGAAGCACACATACACACACACACACACACACACACACATGCACCTAAGAGATAAAGAACTCAGCGACCAATCGGCTGATGCTGAGATGTAGAAGCGCCGTCAAACATCACTTTTTTATATATAATATGCATGATTGTTGTGTGTATAGTTTATCATTTTTTGACTATCGCACAAGCACCGCACCGTGTAATCACAAATTCCTCCTATATATTACGCTGTCACGCCCACCGGCTCTCACGCACACACAAGCACGCGCCCTCGTCCTGTGCCTAGGTGTACACAAGTTCCAGAGGGGCATCCTCATTCAGTGTTCTGACTAACGCCGCAATGGAGCCCCCTTGTCTTCTCATTCGCCCTCTCTCGCCGCTCCAAAGCAAAGCTGCCCCAAAAAAAAAAACACAATAAAAGCAATTGCTACTATTATTATTGTTATAAAAAATGACGGCGGAAATAAATAAAAATAGAAAACAAAGCACTTAACTATTCCATTGATGCATTCATGTGTTTGATGTCAAAACACAAACAAATAATGACCACTTTGTCTTCATCATCTGCATAATGAGCGGTCACTTCGGAATTGAACGAGAGTCATACAGCAAGGCGCCTGCATCATCCACAGAACGTGTTACTCAACAGGTCACATAAAAGACAGTGTCTTCACTGTGGTGATGGGGGGAAAAATGGTGATGCTGCACGCACAGGGTGTGCCCAGGCACAAGGAGGAAGAACGCCGCAACTACAGCATCCAAATAGGAAATACCGCCAACACCACCACCAACAAAGAAACAAAATAAAAAACTATCTGTGTGACCCGATTGCACGGTCGTACACACCATGCTTGTATTAGGTGCATATGCATTCATAAGCGTATAAAAACTGCCAGCGCAGGTCACTTATACGCGCAGCTCCCCTAGTTATTCGCCCCTCTTTCTACTCACTATTTCTCACCGTATTTAGAAGCGCGTAATAATAATAATAATAATAACAATATATATATATATATTATCGTTAGCTTTTATCATTGGAGTACATGTGGCATGTCCACTCTCACTTTTCCCGCCAACAGCGCCGCAGAAATGACACTTCCACCTCATTTTTTATTACCTCCCGTTCCTATCACCCTTGCTGGTCACCAGCTGAAGTAAACGTGCATGTGCACATAATGGCACAGATACATATGTATGTATACCTACAAAAAGTATAGAAGGAGGGACGTTTTACGCGGGCAAAAAAAAAGCACTGACACACGCAAAGTAAAGCAAATCCAAAAAGAAAAAAAACATAATAAACAAAACAGAAAGTGTCCAACAGATGAAGATATTCTTCAGATTAATCAATAGAGGAAGAGAACTTCTACATTCGCCTTTTTTTCATTGAACACTAGGCTTCGCAGAATAACAACGTCAGGCTGCATATGAAACTTTTCCCACTCTCCCCACCCCCACTGACATAATCATTCACATTATTATTGCCCTAATCCCTGATGGAATGCATGCAAAAAGACAGCTGCTGCGATGTTGCCAACCCAAAGAGAAGGTGGTCAAAAAACTACAGGAATAGTAAGAACGATATAGAAAATAGAAGGAAGGGGCGGATACAGTGAATGGAGGAGGACGGGTTTATGTAAGCGTGCTGCGTGCAAGGAACCTCCCCCCCCCAAAAAAAAAAAAAAAACGAGAAACAGCCGCAGGAAGAATAGCTGAAGCACGGCTCCCGTACTCTAAAAAGAAAAAATAATTTCTTTATTCGCCGGCCTGACTGCTAAACTCCCTGTCGTTTTTCTTCTCTCTCTTCCATTTCATTCCTTCTCTTGTGGAAGGTTAATATCGGACGTTGTTGTCATTTTCTTCCCCTCCCACTTTTCTTTGCCGCCTTCGCACACCCATATGTATACATAAAAAAAAAAGCCTGCAAGAGGATCCGTGTCACATGTTTTCACTAAAAATAAACAAAAATAAAGAACAACACAAAAACAAATACATCGAACCCTAGTGCAAGGAAGTTAATATCAAAAACAATTAAAGAACAGAATAGTACTCGCTGATCTCTCTTCTCTCAGTCGGCTCCCAACTCCGTTCTCCATTTCAGCGTGTGAGAGGGTCTCCACCTGCAGTAGACCAAAGAACATAAAGCATGAGAGAGTGTGTAAACGACCAGGCCCTACAAATCACGCAGCTGGCTCACAACTTCCTGCATAAGTACCTCTTGTACATTATGCATCTTCGTTCCTTGTTGGTGACGTGACTGGTGATGACCATGACTGTAATCTGTCTTCCCAAAGCGAGTGGGTACAATGACCATCGCTTGGAGATTACCATTGCCCAAATCATTTTGTGGTGGAAAACGCCGCCCACTTACAAAAACAGCTTCAGGACGATGATTCCGGCCAGTCTTGGCAATGGGCAAGGGTTTCTCTGAAACTCGTGAGTCGTTTGAGTTTGAACTCACTAACAACGGAATAGGCATACTCTGCACCTGTTGTTGAAGCTTTGAGGATTGAGTCCCGGCAGTACCGCTAGCATTACTATTAGCCCCGCCACGCGAAGTGGTGCAACAGCTACCTTTATTCACCGAGGCGATGAATTCGGGCAAACAAAGGTGATGCGTGGTACTATTTCCGCCTGCGTACTCGGTGGTGGTAGAAGGAACCTTACGCGGCATGGATACAGAGCATGTAGATTCCTGGATATATATATTACTGTTTCTTGAACTGGATGACAAACTTCTGACTCCTACCATTGAGAGAGATGGCTGCTTCAGCACAAATGGAGAGCGAGAAGAAGACATAACTGAGCCTTCCCCACCTCCAGAATTATCCGGCAGAGGCATGGAACTTGTATCTTTTGCCGGGGCATGGGGCCTGCTCACGTTATTCGCGGGGTGTGCATTCCACGTCTTTGGTGGGAAATATGAAATCCGTGGCGCACGATTGCGTGGCACATTCAATGCTGTCTTCAACGGAGTAAAAGATGCAGCTGCGCCTGGTGACATCGAAAACACGCTAGAGCTTGGAATTAAACCCCCTGCTCGAGTAGCATTTGGCTTCTGTGGTGATATCAAGCGGGGACGTGACTGCGACGTTAGCTTTGGCAAGCACGGAAAATTCATCTGGGCATGAATAATGTCGTGCATCACAGAGCCTGCAGGCGCCTCAGCACTTTCAGCAATGGGAGTTGCCTCAGTTGCTCGTGGCTGATGAAGTGTAAACGCCACCGGGGCATGCGCATCTCGTACTCCCGCTGCGTCTTCCGACCCCTCTTGTAGCAGCAATTGCCCACTACTTGCACTAAACTCGCATGTTTCCTCTCGCCCCTTTTCTGTCCTACTTGCTTTGAATACAGGGTCCATTGTGGTCTCAAGCAGCGGTGGGGGTTTGTAACACATGCCCGTTTGACTGTCAAAGCTAATGGACTCCCCCATTAAAAAGGCATCCGTTGTCTTAGAAAGAGACTGCATCTCTCCTTCCCAGGCGATCACGTCACCCTGTTTCCCATCGCCATGGAAGGTGTGGGTTAATCCCCACTCAATCGTGCCCCCTCCTGTCATTCCTTGCCTCCTGTTGTTGGCGCGTCTTCTTCCACCACCGAGGCAACTGCAGTCCCGTGTGGTGGGAAGAATCGGAGAACGAGGAGAACACTGACGTAGTCGATTGAAGTGACGGTGACAATAGTAAACAAACGCGAATTGACGAGGCACACAAAGAAGGAAATCACCGAAGAAAAAACGCAAACAAACAGAAACAAAACACAGAAAAGGACAAAAAAAAAGCAAGGAAAAAAAAATGTAGGTGATCGACCTGCACCTCACAAAAAAGTGGGTCTTCACCTCCTCGGTCTATATGTGTTTGTACCCTATGTATGGGTGGTATTTGTTTCTCGCTATATGTATTTCTACGTGTGTGCTTCAGTGTGCATTATCCAGGCAACGTGCACCCAACAAGCAACATAAAAAGCAAAAGAAAGGAGGAAGAGGCGACAGGTAGATGCCACTTCGATCCATACGTCACGAGAAGCACGACGACGGCAACAACAAGGCGGCGACAGTGCAAGCGGCACCGCAATGCAGAATAAATGTAAAATACAAAGTAAACAAAAACCACCATTATTTGCATTTCCCACTGTCCTACACCCCCATAACACGCAAATAGACACCTTTTTGTGTGTATGTGTGTGTGTGTGTGCTTGAAGAAGCGGCCCCGACGTACAACTTCTACACACCAGCAACAGGAAGGGGGAAAGAAAGCAATACAAACAACATCCATACGAAAAGAGGGTGACCAGTTTCTGAAAAACCGCATCCATACCCATATACACATAAGCATGCAGTTAACAAAAAGAAAAAAAGCAACGACAAAGGATTCGGTATGCGAGTAAAGTACTTGTATTGTGACGAACAGAAATAAACAAAAAACGCGATGTTGTGCGGAAAGTGAAAGCAAAAAGACGAGGAACTATCCTGAGATGCAATAATTAGAACAACAACAACACACACACACACACGCGTAAACAGAGTGAAAGTGGAAATAAAAACGACGTAAACAATCAACCATAAAAAGGCAAAAAAAAAAGAATTAAAATAATTCAGTGGCCTCTGGCAGACCCCACCAACGCAAAGGCCCCCATGCCATAGGCAACTGTTAAAGTTGCATGACAACTCCTACAACGTTTGCTGCCTGCAAGATAACTATGGACATTGCGATAGCTTCCAACAAGAACCAAAAAAAAAAATCACGGTTTTCAACACTATCAGAGATTTTCACTACCTGCAAATGTTTGCCACAGAGGCATGACCGTCCCGTCATCATCACTTTTTCTGAATTCCACGTTGTGTCGGCACAGTCGCCGAGTAGCTATCGAACTGTATCGTCTGCAACGCGTCTCCAGAGCATCATCACAATCCCCTGCATCAATGATTACACCACCACCCCCGCTGTGGTTCTCATAGGCGCCATCACCGTAAATCTGTAGCGTCGACCCGTTTGTCTCTGAAAGCCTTTTTACAATCGCTGTTGGAGACCCCAAAGAAGCACACTGCTCGTTGCTTCGTCGCCACGTCTCCGTTTCTTGCTTCCGCCAGCGTTCTGCCCCATTTTGTGGCCTCCGTTGTCTCGACGCCCAACTCAATGAAACACCGGCATCATCACCCCCAACTATGCTGCTTTCGTAAACGCTGGAGTTAGCGAGATTACCAGACGCCTGAAAATTCTCAACCTCCGTTTCTTCTGTAGGCAACATAACATGACCGACATTCTTGGGAGTAGTGCAGGAATCGCCACCCCATGCCAACTGCACCTGGTGCTCTTGGCATCGACGATTTTCGCCTTTTACACCATCAGCAGCGTTGTTTCTAACACCCGATGTTGCGGTATTGCCAAGAAAAGACGCTGCCGGACTGGCACCTTCCTGCATGGCGTCCACACACTCTGCGTGAGCTCCTACTGGAACCTTTTCAAATGCAAGTAGCGGCTTCACATCAGCAGATTTCTCCTCTCTCTGCGACATGTGGTTATTTAACTCTGGGTTCTCCACTCGTGGTGTCTCACCCCGGCGTCCTCCATCTTCCTCATTTATCCCGTCCCTCTCATCCACGCAATGCATTCCACGAAGACACGCCTCTTATTCTTCTCTCCCCTTATTTGCCACTGCACCGCTTTACTCCTCTTTAAATGCTTGGATATTTTACAGTTAAGTAAATATATTACGATTGTTGCGCTGGCCGCCGTATCACCTCGCCAACACGCACCGTTCTGGACCTCACCAAGTTCAGCAAACAACAAAAGGGTGCAACAAACGCGAGCGAGAGGGAGCGAATGCTAGAACGAGAGAAAAGGACAAAAGCCTAAAAATAGCACATAGACAAAAAACAAAAAAACGAAAACCATTCGAAGCTTTTACTCTCCCACATAAAAGGAGCGAAGAGAAATGAAAGATACCCATTTATTTTTTTCATGATTATTCACAATGAACGCGTTCGTTCAAGAAACCAGTAACAAATCCAAAACAAATTTTCATTATCCATAATCATCAATTAAGAGGGAATAGGATGAAGTAATGAAAGGGATATTTGACCTGCCTCCCACGCTTCGCACTCCACAACGCACAACTGTTTTACTCCCCGCCACGCCACGCCACGCCACGCCAACCCGATATCCCCCCCACAGGATTACCTTCCGACGTCACGCATACCCACGCAGCACGCACCCCTGGAATTCGCCAGTCCTTCTCGACTGCAATGGCCTCACGCCAAACTTTCAGAAGCTACGTTTCCCCTGTGCATCGCACGCATGCGCGCCTTGCCGTCAACACAAATTTGAGTAGTTCCTACCGAATGTGTGCGGAATGCCCCCGACGGTCAAACGAACGATTCGCGCCTCCGCCTGTGAAAGCGCGTGTGGTGCGTCTTTTCACGCACGGCCAACAACCATCACTTCGCCAGCATCCTTCCAT